AACCAATCGAGTTATTGTTCTATTTCGAATAGATGTATTATTGAAAATAAATTATGAAAAGGAGTTAGTAGGCAAGTTGGCAATATGAGCAAATCAATTTTGTTTTTGTTAATGGCAAAATAAATCAGTCATCAGTAAAGTAGGAGTAATTTCAAATCATTCCGGCATTTCTGTATTTTGGGGAGGTTGCCAGCCTAGAAAGAAGAAAGTTGTTGCTTTTAGGCTCATTCAGGCTACTACCACACTTGCAAACAAAAATTTCTCGGCGTAGCTTCTACAGGATGTTTATTTGTCTTCCGCAAAAGTGTCAGCACACTGCGCTTCCTTTAGAAACTAAAATTCCATTTCATTCGTGTGCGCAATGACAACGAGAACGAATGACTGAAACCCACCTCAATGACTAGAAAGAATTGCTTGGGTCATAGTGAATCGTGACGCTAACAAAATAATTGTTTTGGTGATTGAGCTAAAACCCCAGGCTTTCTACAAAAATGGGCTGCAGAAGTGTTGGAGCACCCTGGCGATGCAATTCAGAGTTTTTCACCACATCATTACGCCTGCATTGGGCACTCTCGAGAAAGACATTAATGGCAGTGCCAGTCCAGTTTAAGACTAAGACAGGATTTGAAGCCCTTCCGATGTCAGCCAGGTACGCGATTTCGACTTCGAAAGAAGCTCATGACAATAGTACCCATCAAATTTCTCCCAATAACCTACCACTTCTCTCATTTGCTGATGAGACTGTGGCATGTTTCCCAAGAAACCTGTATATAAATTAAGTCAAAGCGTAGCTTATGACCAACTTCATTTTGCTGATATTGGAGAAAATTCTCAAATAGAAATCGTAGTACACAGAAATAAGTTTGACCCCCCAGCTACTCACTTTCCCAGCGTCCCCCNNCCCCCCCCCCCCCCCAACTACAGGTACAAATCACCTCTTGCCATTCTAATTTCAAAGCCCGGCTTTACATTAGGACTAAGGCAACTTTAAATACGTACAGAAACAGAAAAAATATTGAGTTGGATTTCAAGCACTCAAAATTAAATTTACATTTATTTTCCGTCATTTGCATTAGTTGAGGCGAATGTGTCGTTGTTTTTGGTGTTGTTATTACTATTGTATCACGTTCCCCAAAATCGATAAGATCATCTCCGGATAATTGAGGTTGACACGTCTTTTCATCGACCTTCTAAAATGGTAAAGAAGCAGACAATATCGAACTTAATTGTGTGAGCAAATGTGGATGGGTCAAATTAGTACAAATAAGTTTTTTCGTCAACAAACACATAAAAGTAAACCGGCGCAAGCAATCAGCAATCAAATTATCAAATAACTTTTCCATGATCCGTTCTAGACAAACTAAAATGGAAATTTTGGGAAGAGCTATTTAGAGTGCTGAACTTTCTATCCACAAGAACCATAAAAGAGAATTGGAAATAAAATGTTGAAATAAGGTATAATTGTATCCACCTCTATGACTTCAAGCAGAAGAAAGCCACAAATGGATATCCATCATAATGGATTTTGAAAACAGTTAAATGGAAATTTATATACACCTCAATTTTAAATATAATTTTCCAAATTTAAGTTAATTAAGCCAACTGAGGCCGTGTTACAATTTTAAATCTATAAACTACCTCTGTACGAGACGGTTTGCATTCACCGCCATTTGAAGGGAAAATGAGCTAAAGTGGCAAGACTGAAGATCAAAAACCCGACCAAGACACACTGAGATTCGTGGACAATAGTTTTCCGTAAAAGAGGGAAAGAATTACGATGATTCAATTTTGGGACGTTGATTGCTTTATATACATCCGGAATAGAAAAACCAGTAAAGATCCCGCCTCTGGTAATTTGACGCTGCGCCAACAGGAGAAGGTTTTAGTCTAAGTTTGGTTGTAGAAATAAAGGCTCTCCGGATCCAGGACAAGTGAACCAGAGATCAATATTTGAAGACTAATCAATTCGGTTAACAAGTACAGTCATAGTTACTGGAAAAAGTAGCAGAATGTCTGGGAGGCCTGTTTGATTCCCAAAAGACAAAAAGTTTGAAAGCCTGATACTTAGGGATACAATATGTCATTCTTTAATTTGTGGCCAACAGACGGGATTTGGTCATTTGTTTGAACAATTATCTAAATAAATGCAGATGAAAAGAAGTATTCAGTTTTGACTCGATCAATGTAGGAACCAATATAATTGACTATGAATAGCAATAGTACAAACAAAATGCTTTTCGACTTGAGGACTAGATGTCATAGGCAAGCATTCCTTCAGTTGTGTTCGTGGCAAACCAAAAGCTTTGACGCTTAAAATGTGAAATTCACATGTAGTAAATATTTTCCTACCCGCAACCAAGAAATTTCAATTTAATTAAAGCCCTTTTAAGCATCGCCAAGAACAATACTTTTCCGATTCCAATCGCGTAGTATCGTTTTATTGGAAGCGGACTCGAATGATAGCAACAGCTGGTTAAAATGTGCTCAAAATCAGGGTACTCAGGAAACTGACATCATCACCACTTTCCTCCATCTCCCCACCCCTCATCCACCCACCCTCATCCATTCACAATTAGCAGACTGAACTCCTAATCTCACCGGACGTACAAGGCAGTCTACGAGAATCATGTGGTCAAGTTATCTAAGGCTTTCCAGTCACGGGAAATAGAGCTACACCTTGATCACTTCCACTTAAACTAGTTGCACAAAATATATGGCTTTTATAAATGAATGGAAAATATAAATCATTAAACAAAATAGTAATAAGTAGGATTTTGCAGTATCTTTGATTTCCAATTATAAAAATTACTTACTTCAGATTTGAAGTGAGTCCAACGGTCACTGTGTTTCAGCCTCAGCAGACCATCTTTCGCATCTCCGAATGGTTTTGTGTATTTCTGTTTTTGAGATTCAAACTTATGAACTATATCTGGATGCGTAGAGCGCTTTAAAAACAACTTATCGTCTTTGTCTGGCAATTTCGGATCGTAGAAAGTCAGAATGTGGGTCCAAATCGATTCACCTTTCTCTATTTGTTCGAGGCAGTCCTTTAGAGGCAAATAAAGCAAAGTGAAACACTTATTACATCAAGAAAAGTTAGACTAAAAATATTTGGTAGTTTCTGCTCACACCCCGAGGTCTGAATGGACTCAAACAAACAAAGCTCATACTTCAGAGTTTTTGAAAACTCAAATTTTTAGGCATTCATTTTGTATCTGACGCACTATTTGTACTTTGATTCCCCTATAACTTCCCGATTTCAGTTTTTTTTAAAATTTGATTTCCTGAAATTGCTGAGCGATCGGTTGGAGCTTAGCTCTCAAGAGAGCGGATGCAAGTCACGTTGATATGGAGGATTTGAATTAATTCCTGCTTGTTTTTGCTAGCACAATTTAAATTAGTATTTTAACAAACAAGCGAGTTTTTACAAATGCTCAAATGGGAAAAAATGAATGCAAGGAAAGAACTTGCAGCAAGAAATTAGCGCTGTTTTGTTCACAACAACTATTCTTACAGCATAAAAAATATGGATACACGAATAATCGTAAACTACAGGAGAGAGGAAGAGAGAGAAGCCATGAAAGAGGATTTCATCAGGTAAAATGAAAATACCTCCAAACAAATATTGGACCCTTCAAAGATGTTCACACACCGTTAGAAGTTCCTTCATTTGGCTTTATTTGGAAATATCAATGAGGTGCTGAAAGAATATTCAGATTCATGAAAATATTCGGGACTAATGTCCATTAATGATGGATATTAAAGCAAGAAGGAATTCCAGTCCCTTTCGAAGGTTCAATTCAAGTTGCCCAAATTCTAAGAAAGAACATTTCTAACCTAACCAGGAAATGTAAGTTACATTTATTTTAGCATACGCAAAATCTGCTAAATTCTCACTATTAAACTTTAAGAAGAGGAATGTTCTTAAATATCTATCCCCATTCAATCAAGTAAATCCATTCATGGGAAAGTATATTTTCTTCACTTGTATGCAAACTTAAGCTCTGAAAAGGTGGAAATATGAAGTTACAAACAATTCAGCGTTATTTGCACGCAAAACACAAGAAATTTCTTCCAAAAGTTTTCAGGTAAAATTCTCTTTATTACCTCTCCCCTAAGTAAATGTCAAATCGAAAGTTAGATAAATCCATTTGGTGAGCAACCTAATGATCAAGTCGACTAAAACTGCACCAAATCATATTATTTAAACTAAGGCAACAACAACGAATGAGCTTCATCAGTGTAATAAAGCTTACATCAATTTCACTTTCTTTGACGCATTCACTATTTGATTTAGTTAAGTCCTTTACCCGCCTTCGAAATGGTGCAGAATACAAATTCGCAAAGGCTTTTTGCAGATCGTAGTAATATAATTCCGTCAATTCACCGTCCTAAGGAAAGAGACGATTTAAGTAAAGGCAAAATATAAGCAATTAAACTTAGTCTATTCCATCACTCACTGCATATTTATTTGGCAACCAAGAGGAATTAGGCTTATCTTCGTCCGATTTTGATCCTTTGTTTTTTAATAACTTTGAGAGAGAAGAGAGAGAGAAGTTTACAGAGGATGTTGGATCTTACCAAATCGATTTGGGACAACTTTATTCGAACATTTTCAGAAGCCGATTTCTCAAAATCACACAAGGTATCTTTATATCCTTCCAAAGCCTTCAATAGTTCAGAATTATAACTTGCACAAAATTGAAGTAGACACAAGATCCAATATCGCTGGACTTCGAAGATGACAGCACAGTAGGCACGAAGAAGATGATTGCACAGATCTGTGGGAGTGATTAATCGATCTCTTAGTGCGGACCAAACGGATGTAAAGTTGGCTAGACGATTGGCTGTGCAGACATCGTATGACCCTAACAAATAGTCATCATCATTGTTTGAATACATACATACATACATACACACACACACAAATATATATATATATATATATATATATATATNNNATTTAAGTAAAGGCAAAATATAAGCAATTAAACTTAGTCTATTCCATCACTNTTAAAGAGTTTTGCATGGAACGAAACAAATGGTAATCCGAAGGCGCAAGGTCAGGGCTATATGGTGGGTGTGACAAAGCATCCCAACCCAGTTCCAATCATTTTTGCCGAGTAACCAAAGATGTGTGGGGGGGGGGCCTTGCGTTATCATGATGGAAAACAACACCCTTCCGCCGATTTGATAATGCCGGCCGCTTATCTTCAATTGCATCCTTCAGTTTTTCGAGTTCTTCAACATACACATTTAAATTTATCGTTTGGTTCTGCGGCATGAGTTCAAAATACAAAATTCCTTTGTGATCCCACCAGACTGACAGCATAATCTTTTTTGGTGAATCTCTGCTGCTTTTGATACTGTTTGGGCTGGTTGATCTTGCTTCACCCATGATCTCTTGCGAGTAACATTGTTATAAACTATCCACTTTTCGTCGCCAGTAACTAGGTTCTTCAGAAATGGATCATTCCCATTGCGTTTCAGTAGCGGCGAAACACAGATGCTAATCCGTTGCGTCAAATGAATTTCCTTTAACTGGTGAGGGATCCATAAATCAAGTTTCTTGACATAACCAAGGCTTTTTCATTTTTTTTTCAATGCATGCATGCGACACATTGAGCAGCTTCTCTGCAATATCTCGTGTTGTGCTGTGACGATTTGAATCGATAATGGCCTTGATATGGGTTTCATCCACTTCGACTGGGCGGCCAGATCGTTGTGAATTTTTCAGTGAGAAATCACCGGAACGAAATCTTTCAAACCAATTTCGACACTGCCTTTCTTTTAAGGCTTCATCTCCATATACGGCACATAACTTCTTTTGTGCTTGCGATGCGTTCTTGCCTTTTCGGAAGTAATACAATAAAATGTGTCGGAAGTGCACGTCCTGTTCTTTCATTTTTAAATTGGGATAAAAGCAAAACTAAAGAACTAAACAAAAAATTTTTTACTAATTAACCTAGAAGCCCATACAGTAAGAAAAAATATAGGTTAGATGCTCTGGCCACGTTAAAAAAACAAAAGAAAGTATAGAGTGAATCCGTCAACAAAAACAGCAATGACTTAGTTGCCAACCCAATATATATATATATATGTAAAATAAGAAATAAAATTTTTACATTTGTTTTCATTTTGAACAAGGAGTTAGAATTGGGGAAGAGAAGGAAACTTGATTCGTTTTAACAAATCTCATTGATTTTTATTTTCGTCAGATGCAAATCCGAGGATATGAGAAACAGTAAAATATGCAAGGGTTTAATGATAAAAGCGCATACACAGAATTGTACTAACAGGTGTTTGGTTTTCGGGAATCTCATATATGTCTCCAGTGTAATTATAACTTATCTTACCGGTAAGGTGTGAAAAATAGTTCAGCCAATATTGAATTTCAAAATAAAATTGCGATATTCCAGGTATTTAACAAGAAACCCAAATATAAATGCAACTACTTCACAAACGCATGATGAGATTTACAATTTAACAGGATAAATAACAATAAATACTCACCTACGACTGAAATATGAATTGGCATATCGTCCACGGAGTTATTTGATAGCAAATTCTTAACTTTGTTAAAAATTTCACTCATTAGAACAGTGGAAGAAATTAGCGAATCTAAAAGCAATAAACGCAAAAATCAAATAAAGACTAGAAAAAGATCACATTAAAATGTGTGAGATATTATTTAAGCCATTAATTTGATCAAGAGCATGCGTAAAAAAGAACAAGCTTTAAAATCTATCAACGCGAAGGTATCAACTTGAAAGGATGTCTATTTTTGAAATCACGCTCTGTCCTTGAATCTACTGAATACATATTAACAAGTGATGTAGATATGTGCTCCATTTTGAGTAAATTTGTCTTAAAATTAAAATTTAATTACATTTAGTAAATAATAATTTTTTATATAAATATTCTTTCATATAATTACTATTTGTCTAACCAGCAATGTGACGGATTCTATAAGTTAAACATATGTTGTAATATTACCATCTTATCTCTTAAAATTCCTTCACTCTCTCTCTTTCTCTCTGCAAATCATAATTTAGGACAGTTTTGCGAGAATTCAAATTGAAACGCACATTTAATTGACATTTTTTCGACTTGGAACTTTAGTTTAGAGTGAATCATGGGGGGTTGATATTAAACGGATATGTTGTTAGTTAAATAGGCCTCCATAAAAGAACAATTTTTAAACTTTGTTGGAAATATCTAAAGGCGCATATTCAAACAATTGCTTACACAATTGTGTCAATCGAAAGCCGTCAAACTCCATTGATGGGGTGTCTTGAAGAGCATCAGATAACTTATCCACTTTAAGGATATTTTAAGAAATACTTATCCATGTTTAAAAAATTAGTGCTCCTACTATATGGGCAATATTTATATGTAATAGTTACAAAGCTAGCTCAAACATGTTTCATTACAATTATATTTTAATCTCATGGAGGCATGTCTGTTTGTACATTATTTTAAGACATATATTTTCTTATGATTGAATTATGTGCTGTGTAATTTTCGGATTCAAATGACATCTATTCTCATTGATTTTACGACCTGTAGGGGATTGTTGCAGGAGTAAGCCTTATATTAATACGGTGTTTATTGAACATACGCGCGTGACAGAGATGATTAGTAGGTAAATATATTTTATGCAATTTAAATGAATAATAATGGCCTATTAGCTTTGAAGACCACAGTACGCATGACCCACCTTCCCCTGTGTTCAAGTGAACGTGAGGTTGCGTGGTTTAATCGTATTAACATTGCGTAATTATTCTGAAGGTTTAAGGCATTACCATTATAATTTCATTGCAAAATGGCTGAGTAGCCTTTGAGTTCCAGCAAGTAATCGTTAACTGCATTAAGCATGTACTAATTTATTTGTGCATGGAATTTTACTACCACGAATAGAAAAATGAATTCACATGTCACTGGTTAACCACGTACCAAAATCCTTCCGAATTTCGATCAATACCAAAATTTATGGCAGCTTCATCGTGCATAATGTTTTAGCCGACACAGTGGACTCTATCTTAGCCCTTTATTAGAAGAGATGTACTTAATAAATAGACACAAATGAAACTGAAGAACTGGGGATGATGTTGGGACATTATCCATTGAATGCGAATTTTCTTCAAATATATTGTGGTTTTTTTGCAACACATACTTTTACATTTGACAGATGAAATATGGAGATTTAAATAAATCGAATTATTTATAGCACTGCATCTGTCAAAATTAATTACAGTTCATTTCTTGAATAGCTAATCACTTAGAATTTATAGGCATCGGCTTGAAGCGAATATAAGAACCAGACACCAATAAGCCTTGACTTATACTCAATAATCTCTATGTCACATTCACTTTGTTTGGAACGGTTCCCAGAGTTAGCTAAGCTACCAAAAGTTATGGAGGAAGCAGACGTATGTCGTAGAATGCGTTTACTCGGGTGATGTTATGTTGGGGTTGCGCTGTAGGTGAATGTGGTGTTTAAGCGTTGTCTGGCGGATAGCTTAGTCATTATATGCACTTTCGGGTATGATAATCGTTTAATGATTTTGATTATTGATTGGTCGAGAGGTCTCTGTGCCCCCATGGTGTGATTGGCATGACGAAAGTAAGGTCACACAATATTGGGGAACTTGCATTTCGTTACTTCAGCCATTCTGACGTTTTGTTCCCCACAATCCACAAGGAAATCAATGAAAATCCACTCACTAATTTTTTCAGTAACGCTGCTCAGAGCTTAGACATTGAATACCGTGTTGGGTTCACTAACTAACTCAGCAATGATTTTTGATTGTCAATTGACCATTTGTCCCTAATACAATTAGCATCAGAAAGTTTGGGCGAACATATGATTGCTTTGTTTACTCGTTTTAGGACTGTGTATTCACAAATTTCCATTTTTCCTGAACATTGAGAAAAGTACGTTTTAGCGAATCAAACCAAATAATACTGAAAATATAAATGACTTATTTCAAATCGATCCTTGCATTTGTACAATTTGCCAGAATTCCTAAACTTCCTTTAATGCAAAAGGCTACTGAACAATCGTACACACATTTCAAATTCTTTTGAGTTCGTTTTCCTTCATCTGAGCATTCTCCTTTTCATTTACTGATCTTCCTTATTTTATTTCTTTACAAAAAAATGTAAATAGGTGCTTAGAGAAACATTATGCACCTCCTTTCTCTAGTGTTCAATGTGACCATGAGCTCAAACCAATAGCTCTATGAGTAATTAAGGTTAAAATATAATGTGATATTATTGAATTGACTTTGCGTTGAATAAACTGGGCAATGAGCGACAGAGCACGCACACACACACTTGGGAGTGTTTCACATTTATTGGCCCGGAAATGAAGGCCGCGTGTGATTTGGGTCAGTCCAACTATTAAAATAAATAAAATCATGGCCGATGGTGATTAAGGTCATCTGACCTTTTGCGCCTCGAAATTTGCGCTTTATTAAAGTAAATGCGGAATTGGGAAATTTCGAGCTTAAATAATAATTTTACCATTTCAGCTCCACTATTATTCAAATACTACTTCAACGTCAATGTATGATGAACTAGCTCCATTTTAAAGCGATTATAAACTTTATCTTTACTAAAGTGCATTTTTGAAGTTAGTGGTGAAACAGCAGAAATCAAAAATCCTCACCCACTCTTCTTTAAATACCTTTTAATTTACGTGCCTGCACACTAACTCTGCAGTTCAACTCACTTTTCATTAAGCCTATTAAGGGTAAGCGGGGCGCACAATAGACTTACCTCCAATTGGTGCAACTTGGCCAAACTATACTCATACGGCAAAAGAGTCTTTAAACCGGCAGTTGACTTCTGACTACAAACTACTATGACCCCACTGTATGTCATATTCTACCACTTGCGCAGTACTCGTC